CCTGTCACTATGTCCTCCACCTCACCAAGATTATACCCATTGGTTCAGAATTCAACGTCGAGAAATAGTCCCCCCAGTCTTGTATATCCAATGGGGTTAGGTCGTTGCGGTCGTCCAGACACCTGCTTTATGATGTCTCAGAAACGTTTACAGTCTATCGCTGCTGCATTTTCTAGGTCATTCCTTTTACATTGTGCAAACTGGTCCTTCTTGATTCCACAGTTGTCTGCATTCATTGCAAACTTTGTTATACTTAATAAGGTATGAGTTATCTTTAGTTTCTTCTGAACGCATCTAAGTCATGGCACCGCAGAGTTGCGTCCCTTGGGCACACCAGAAACCTATGATTGTGGGTTCGAATCCCGGTTCGCCACGGTTATGTTTCTAGGTTTGTCAGCACAATACCCGTGCTCGTGGGTTTCACCTAAGTGGTAAACGTCTGAGACCTGCATCACTTCGGGCTTTCCTCCCACATTCAGCTGACACGCCGTGATATAACTGGAATACTGTTAAGAGCGACGTTAAACCCAACTCACTCACTCAATGCCCAATATATGTACAGTCACCGATTTGATAGTCAGATCCAAATCTTCCATTTGCAATGTGTATGTTCAGAATTGAACACATTTCCAAAAGAGTTTTTCCAAAGTTATTTAGTAATTTATCACATGAATATCTTTCCATCTCAAATTGTGTAAACAAATCTAGTAAGTAGTTATTACTTTCAACATGGTGAATAACATCGTTCTCCCGCGTCCCGCGTCACACCGGTTCTACTGTTCATGTACAATGGACCTGTGAAGATCCGGGGTAGAATAGGTCTTCTGCAACCCATTCTTGACGTGAAAGGCGACTATGCTTGTCGTAAGAGGCAACAAACGGGATCGGGTGGTCAGACTCGATGGCTTGGTTGATGCATGTCATCATAATCAAAATGCGTGGATCGATGCTCATGATGTCGACCACTGGATTGTCTGGTCCAGACTCGATTATTTACAGACCGCCGTCATATAGCTGGAATATTGCTGAGTGCGGCGTTAATCAACAAACAAACAAACAAACAAATCCAAGTACAATAATAGAAACAGCTGGGTACTTCCAGTGTACTCAATAAAAAATACCCAATTTTGTCTATCTTTGTTATCATACCAGGTCGATCTCTTGAGTTTATATTCTGGAAAAATGTCACTAAAGTACTTTCCTAACGACTATGTTGCATATAAAGCAATAATGTCATGTTCAGATACAAAAGAAACATCGCCAATGTCGGACAGTTTGTTGGTTAAATCTTCTATATTAAGGATTGTAACAATGCATTATGTAGAGGATCACACACAATATAGTCTCACTGGCGCGTCAGCTTCACGAGGAAAGAATGTCTGCACCATCTGGTTCGCCGACTCCTCTCCATAGCGTTATCCGTGGACACTCGACCTGCTGGTGATTGACATGTTGTAATCACAAAATGGTGGGTTTTGTTGGCATGAGCCTTAAATATCATATACAGATCTGCTTTTAGCAATTAAAGGCTCAGCAGTAGTGCTCCTTCCGTTGCGTAATCAATAGTTCTCATAAATCATTATTTTGGTGTGTGGTCGGGTACGTTTGAGACAGCTGCGTCACAATTTTAACGTATTCAATCTTATGTTATTTTTGTATTAATTATTTTTGGTTGCTTGGGTTCTTGTGGTAAACATGCATCCACCAACTCAGTAAAACAGCATGGCATATCTAACATTTCTTTAGGATTTGTTTTCAGATTTGGCGCATAACGTGCAATGCTTACACTACGGTAAAACATTAACACAATAAATATAACGTCACATTCTATTTATGGATATTTTCTATTTGCGCTGCGGTCGGTCTCGGTCAAAAGTATTTACAAAATGCAACAAGCTGTTTTCACAGGTACATGCGGAGGACGGAAAAATGAAATAATAACTTTTTTTCGAAAATTCAAATTTTAAGCCATGTGGCCCAGGGGCCAGCAAAGTTTCATTTGCACATTGGTTTTGTTACACACAGGTGTAACTCGAGGTATCAGGGCACATAATTCAGCTACAATTTAACATAATTCAAACAAGTGTTTGCGTTAAAAAGCATTTGGCAACGGTCCAACAAAGTTTCCTTTGCTCAAACGTTTGTTTTGCAAATTGACAACGGTGTATCTACAAATATCATGAGACATAACTAGTAACGTTATTCAACCATGTTTTATCGCGTAATAATTTGGCCCATGGGCCGGCAAAAAATTTAATGGTTTATTGTATTTTTCCTGTAAGCTTTTCGCATCATCCTTACAGGGGACACGCGTAGTAAAGTGACTTTTCACTGGCTTAATGTTGTTTTACGCCGCAGGCAACAGTATGCCAGCTGTATCACGAAAACCTGTACATAGTCGAGTGTGGATCAGGCCAACAAGAGTTTGAAATCACACGATGACACACAACGAGCCACGTCACAAAGCCTGACCATCTGGTCCCCACTTCATTCGACTTTAGGGATCACGGGTGGCCCAGTCGTCTAAGGCGCCGCGATTCGCTGTGTAGAGTTGCGTCCCCTGGGCACGCCAGAAACCTATGAATGTAGGTTCGAATCCCGGTTCCCCCCCCTCATGTTTCTAGGTTTGTCAGCACCATACCCGTGCTCGTGGGTTTCACCGAGGTGGTAAACTGGAATACTGTTAAAAGCGGCGTTAAACCAAACTCACTCACCTAAGTTATGTGCGGTTAGATGAGGTTTAACGCCACGTTAAATATTATTGCACTTATGGCAACGTGCGCGTCTGTGTGTGTGTGTTTCTGTGTGTTTGCTTGTGTGGACTAATATCGGTTTTATTGTGCTAGCCCACTGAGATATCACGCTGCGGTGTAAATGGATATCCCGCTCTGAGACAGCACTTGATTGCTTTATCCCTTATAAGGAAACCCGTGAAGATTCCAGGGTAGAATAGGTCTTCAGCAACCCATGCTTGCCGTAAAAGGTGACTATGCTTGTCGTAAAAGGCGACTAACGGGATCGGGTGGTCAGGCTCGCTGACTTGGTTGATGCATGTCATCGATCCCAATTGCGTGGATCGATGCTCATGATATTGATCACTGGATTGTCTTGTCCAGACTCGATTATTTACAGACCGCCGTCATATAGCTGGAATATTGCTGAGTGCGGCGTTAAACAACAATCCAATCCAATCCAATCCAATCCCTTATAAGGAACCAAACAAGTACCATCTTTTAAGATCGTTCTGTATGGCACCTTCGGAATGGAACCACCGACCTTCTGCTCCCCATTAGGAGGTAATGTATCTCGAAATACTAATATAAAACATGCCTCCACAAGATCGCACATGAAGATCGTGTTCACAGAATGTCTATGAGTTCTAGACGTTGCATTGTTCGGGAACATGGTATCGATCTGTTTCTGTATTTCGTTGGGTTTCTTCACGGTCTGAGAAGCCGCAGACCAAGCCCCCTCTGTCTGATGAGCGACCCGTGCTTTGCCTGCCATTACTGGTTCATCGAGGCAGTTAGCCAGTGCCAGGCTAATTGGCTGAACTAACTACAACGTGCACCACAATCACCTTGAACTTAATGGGGCCTTGAGCTAGCGCAATGGAAGTTGAAGGGAGGAGAGATATCCACGTGCATGATACGCACAACTACTGCGTTATATTGATACGATTACATGCAAATGAGTGAGTGAGTTTGGTTTAGGCTGTTTTAAACAGTACTTCAGTATCACGGCATTTCGGCTTGAGTTCGGCTGAGAGTAAAGCCCACAGAGAGGCAGGCCTCAGACGTTTACCACGTTGGTTAAACCCCCGAGCACGGAATGGTGCTGACAAACCTAGAAATATATTCCGGACGTATCTGGGATTCGAACCAAGCCATAGGTTTCTAGACCAAGAATGGCTTCACGATTTATCCATTAGACCACCTCCTGTAGCATCGGAGCTGTCACTAAGCCAGCAGATTAGAGAACACCTTCTGACGGTTTTCATTGTTTTTAAGATTTTTGCAAATCAAACATCCACGTTAACCATCTACTGCCTAGAAATACAGAGAAATATGTTATACCATTTGTAAACTAGTAATCAGTTCAGTCTGGCTTATCGACAGTTCACTCTACATAAGTTATACATGGGTGTAGTAGGTGAGGTGAAATGGGGGTTAACGTCGCGTCCAAGATTATTGCACTTATATAGCGACGTGCATGCACGTGTGTGTGTGTGTGTGGGTGTGGCTGCTTGTACTAGACCGGACTGATGCCGATTCATAGTGCTAGCTCACTGATATACCATGCCGCAGTTTAACATGAATACCCCACTCAGACACAGTATACTGACTCCGAGCCGACCAGTCCTTGTTTTAGCCCCTTAAAGCCGAGCGCCAGACAGGGTAACAACAAGTATCATCTTTTAACGTCTTTTGGTATAACGCGGCCGGGGATCGAACCCCGGACCTTCCGCTCTCCGGGCGGACGCTCTACCACTAGACCACGGAGGCAGTCGCCGTTTTAAGGTAGACATGGCGAGGACCTTTCCAAATCTGACGCATCAGTGACAAAAATGATGTCCGATGCAATTCCCTATTTTGACTTGTACCACATGTTCCCGTGTTTATTTCAGGTGAACAATTGACTTGCCTTTGCATGTGTTTGTGACGGGTGCCACCGGTGGGGCAGGATACGCTCACCTTTTCGCAACACCTGGTATCATTGTCATTTGATAGTGATTCGTAGACATGATGTAGTCGAAATAGTAAAATCGACTCTGCTTTATTCGGAATTTCTATTGGATATGAAAAGGGTTTTGTCGCTTTATTTACGATCAGTCTCTCTGTCTCTGTCTCTGTCTCTCTCTCTCTCTCCGTTTTAAATATAAGAGAAATTGCCACTGACTAAAATGGCTTTTGTTAGCATCAATGAACATCAGTTGGAGACTGTATGCACATCTTGTTTCTGTCTTGCTAAAGTGTAACATATAGCCTTGGAACACATGCTGAGATTGCTTAACTTAAACTTTATTGCAACTGTGTTTGAATTATTCAACAATTTCATTAACAAATTGATTTTAACATGATTTTGTTAATTTGAATCAGACTTTTAATGAGGAAATCTTCTGGTATCTATGTTCTGGTAAACAGGTTGTGTCAATTACCACTCATTCACTTTTAGTACCGCCAGTTCCAAGTTTTTATATATTGTTAAATCGAACGTCTAAAAAATAATCGATTATGAAATATTAATTATTCAATGCCTCCACTTAATCAAAAGTCTGAAATATCAAACTATCATTGTGTGTTTCGGCTGAAAATATACAAAATACGTATAAGACAAATGGACGATTAAATATTCTATTATCAGTTATAAATATAAGGAAAACAAAGTGGTCCTTTAAATTTTACATTATCGAATATCAGCTTCAGGGAACCTTTTCATCTAATGTTTTCTGCAAATGCTTTTTTAAATATGGAGATGACGTCAAACAATTTAATTGGACACAACCTATTTGAACTGAATAATTCTTTGTACACATCACAAAAATATACTTTGACAATGTAAACAGCGACTGAATTGTACACTAGTACTGATAGAACTTCACAGAATTTAATCCATACATTCAATGCATTAATGTTAGAGCTGAGTATTGAATAACAGAGAACGTGCGGGTGTATTCTTGGAGGTCATGACGGTATATTCTGGTAGACAGTGGTCTTCCAATTGCAGTTCTTCAATATCCGTCACGCTGGCTCATACTCTTGAACAAACTTATTATACTTGCTTCTTTTTTTCATAATTGCAAAAATTTTTTCTTAAACATTACAGCTGTACAATGGCTTATCGAGTCCGAATTCTCTTCATCCCATGGGTGCACAGACATTACATCGTCTTCCGCGAAGTAATCTGAATGCCGTCCGCCTTGTTTAGTTATAATCGGATGTATATCTATCTTTGGGCTGATATTAGGCTAACACTCTTGCCTGCCACCTCGAAGAAGAATATATATGTTGAAAGTTTGAAAATATGTAGTTTGTGGAGTCTTGGGAAGTTAGTCTGAAAGTGCTCAGATACGTCTGGAGGGATGGTTGTCACGTGACGTGGTCACAGCCTGCCGGCAGATCCTGGAAGTCAGGGGTCAGGGGTCAGGGGTCAGTCTGACCTGAAACAAGAAAAGCGATTTAATGAAATGCAATCTCATTAAAATGGAATCTTTTAATCGGATATGATACCTCTTTGCATCAAGAATTGTGGACACATTCATAAGAAGGTGAACTATGTGCGAACTTTGACCGCCAAATCTAAATGAAGGATACGTTAATTCTTGAGCCAATCAAAATGTCAGCTTTCTAAAACAACTCGGATTCATTTCGTTATGGTCCTGTTGTTTATATGCCACTGTTGTATGACAGGAGTATTGCTTGGTGAGGCTTTTGATAACCAACACTACTCGTACATTTTTATGCAAAATGCTTGAGTGGCGGCATTCGTGACCAACTCGTGTTATTCCGGGACAAGCCGAATAGCGACTCGTGTCCCTCTCATGGCAATTTTTGCGACTGGGTTCCGTCTTAGCGCAAACGGGCATACCTAGAACAATTGTCAACTCGTTGCGTAATGGTTCACATATATTTCCCCATATATTATATATATTTCAGATTCAAATTAAAGTGCACCGGGACATGCGGATTTATACAGTATGATTGAACACATGTAACTGTGTCTTGGGTATACTTTTAGATGCAAGACATATGTGTAATCAAACATTATTTCTGAGGGATTCTTTGATGAAGAACTTGAAATCATACGCGCATTCTGATTGGTTTGTCGTATTTTCGCACTTAACATTCATCGACATTCGTCACCACTCGCCCCTTTCCGTAACCGGCAAGAAGACTCGTCCCCCTGTCGATGAATGTTATGTGCGAAAATACGACAAACCAATCAGAATGCTCGTATTGTTTCAAGTTCTTCGTCAAAGAATCCCTCAGAAATGATGTTTGATTACACATATGTCTTGCATCTAAAACTACACCCAAGGCACAGTTAAATGTGTTCAATTATACTGTATAATTCCGCATGTCCAGATATGCTTAAAATTGCATCTGAATATATATAATATATGGCGATATATATGTGAACCATTACGCAACGAGTTGACAATTGTTTTAGGTATGCCCCTTTGCGCTAAGACGGAGCCCGGTCGCAAAAATGGCCATGACCGGGGCACGAGTCGCTTTTCGGCTTGTCCCTGAATAACACGAGTTGGTCACGAATGATTCATCGATAGGGGCACGAAGTCTTCTTGCAGGTTACGTAAAGGGGCGAGTGGTGACGAATGGAGTGGCGGGTGCTACCGTAGAGCATAATATGCTTACACATTTCGCGTCATCGCGTCATCAATGACTTTCATTGATATATTCATATAATTGTCATCCCTATTTTGACTCTTATATCCGCAAATAATAGAAACTTTGAACGATTATATTAGTTTTCGAGATAAAGAATCAGATACGTTTGTCTGAATGCTTCGTTCACTCGTACAGAGGTGAGGTGAGGTGAAATGGGGTTTAAGGTCGCGTCCAAGATTATTGCACTTATATAGCGACGTGCATGTACGTGTGTGTGTTTGTGTGGCTGCTTGTTCTAGTCCGGACTGATGCCGATTTATAGTGCTAGCACACTGAGATACCATGAATACCCCACTCAGACACAGTATACTGACTCCGAGCTGACCAGTCCTTGTTTTAGCCCCTTAATGCCGAGTGCCAGACAGGGTAACAACAAGTACCATTTTTTAACGTCTTTTGGTATGACGGGGCGTGGATCGAACCCCGGACCTTCCGGGCTCCGGGAGGACGCTCTACCACTAGACCACGGAGGCGGTCACACTCGTACAGAGAAGTTAGAAGCGTAGACTCTAGACTGATCAGAAAGTTCCTCGATTCGACCTCCGATAGGTGTCTCCTGATCTTCACACGGAAAGGCACCATATCGGAGTAATGTGATTTTAATGAGAATGATACTGACTGCGTTTATCAAATTATATCTCTACGTTGACATGTTCAGTATATTTTTGGCTTCTGTTCAAATCATTATGGAATGGGAATACGGCGATGATCAAATTTAATTGGATGCCCAATGTGCCCCTGATTAGAAATTTAACTACATACATGAACTTTCTGTAAGAGGAGACATTGTAATAAAATATGTATATTTGAACTTTTCCGTCCAGCCAATAATATTTTGAAAGGGTAGCACAAAGTGATGAAACCAATTACGAAAATCCAATTAAACCCCAAGACACATATTTCTTTCAACAAGTAACTTTTTAGAATTTTGATCGTGTCGAAGCTCAATGCATCTCCCGGATAGAGGTTGGACAGAGATGCATTCAGTTCGTATTTTGTCCGGGAGTGTTAATTAAATTTTGAATCCCAAGGGGTTTCAGACTTGAGGAAAAAAGACTAAAACGGGTAACAAACAATATTACCCCTGTACACCAATGTAAATCTCACAAACATGCATTTTTTGGGACAGAAAAACATAATTTAATTGTTTTTTTTACCATTCTAAGCTTTTTATAGATGAAATAAAAATATGGAACACAATCTGAGTTTGGGTTGTAAGAAGATATATCTCATGTTGGTTAGGTACAGTCATACTTCCAGACTCAGATTTCGTTTTATTCGTAGGAATAGCTTATTCTATTCACAGTGATTATCTGTTGTAAAATGACCCGTGAAGATCCGGTGTAGAATAGGTCTTCAGCAACCCATGTTTTCTGTAACAAGCGATTATGCTTATCGTAAGAGGCGACTAACGGGATCGGGTGGTCAGCCTTGCTGACTTGGTTGATGCAGTCATCGTATCCCAATCGCGTGGATCTATGCTAATGATGTCAATCAATGGATTGTCTGGTCGAGACTCGATTATTTACACACTGCCGTCATATAGCTGGACTATTGCTGAGTGCGGCGTTAAACAGAAATCATCACATCTCTTGTAAAATACTTTTAACGAGTTTAATTGGATCTTTCTAATCCATTCAAAACATTATGGAATATTCAAAAGAATTAAACATTAAGTTATATCATGTCTTTGGGTGCCTCATCATTGGCCGCATCACGTCAGAGATGCAGTGGGAGAGAAACACGTCGCTGGGGGTACAATGCTCCAAGGTAAATATCTTAACTTAACTGTCTGAACAATTATTTAGTAAACAGAAAGCGCCAACAGCAACGTTCTTTGGAGACAGTCTGTGTGTAGTTTCAGTTGAAATGTTTGACCAGATAATAACTAAGTGAAAAAAGGTTTAAATTCAACAAGTCGTCTCCAATCGTCCAGCATCACAAACACAGAGTCTATTTCCCTGCGCTAGTCCAAATATCCCTTGTGGGACAATCTACCGCAATGAAGAGATTTCACAAATCTAATTTCTTCATACAAACAGTTTACGTGATCCATGATGTTTAATTTGCTAACATCTTCGTTTACATTGCACCTCAAAAGCCACGTGGATTACGTTACAGAACCACCTCCTGGTCTATAAACGATCAATGAAGGACTCAAAATATCAGGTACTTCTTGTGATTATCAACACGATCTGTCTTGCCCTCTAGCTGTGTGGCGTTTCGGTAGACTGTTAGGTATAGGGTATGATTAATGACTAGTTGAAGATGTTGACATGTCGAAAATGGCTCTTGTTATCACGTAAAGTACATTGTTTGATTATTGGATTACATAAATGGGGGAACCGATGCGATGTGCATGTCTTTTTATTGTTGTCTGAAACGTTTTTTTGTGAGTGAGATCCCCTTGATTTAAAAGCCGTTAAATATAGAACTGTCTTTACGCCTGGCCTCGATACAATAATTATCTTAAGAGAAAAAATAAGATGCGTTTTTAAAAAGATTTAATTTGCGTTAAAAATCATAAATAATGTATATGTACACATAAAGCAGTCCAGAAATAGACGCAAATTGGCTTGTCTGATAGGGTTTTTGCAAAGCTGTAAAAACTTTATTAGCTTTTAATGGACCTGTCTGCAGATGGATCTCCACGGGGAACTGCAGAATACAACATTAATATGGCCATGGCACGAGTGAGTGGTTATGGTTTGACGCCGCTTTCAGCAATATTCCAGCAATGTCACGGCAGGGGACACCAGAAATAGGCTTCAAACATTGTACCCATGTCGGGAATCGAACCCGGGTCTTCGGCGTGACGAGCGAAAGCCTTAACAACTAGGCTACCCGACCGCTCCCCGTCGTGCGATGAACGTTCCAGTGACACCAGGGGTTGGGGTGATGCATATTCATGTACAGGTCTACAGGTTCTACAGGTCCGGATCACTTTTATGCCTGCGGAGCTCGGGGTATTTAAGGAGGGATCAACGGATTAACGGAAACTTATTTAAACGACGTACACATTCTAGGAAGTTAACTTACGTCAAAAGCTATGAATTAGGACTAAGGGCACAAAATGACCACATGGACACCCTTACTTTGTGGAAGACTTGCTCACATTAAATTATATCAAATGCTTTTCTCAAAGTCCATTTCTAATGCGTCAGGTTTATTGGCTCTCAGTGAATGCTCATGGTGATACATTATTAGTGGTCAGTCATTGGATCGGTGGACGTTCATATTTCATTCTCAACGCCATGCGGAGCATACAATCTACCCTTATAACGAATTGTAGGCATAGTTCTCGACTTCATGTTGTCCAAAGCTTCCAGTGGTTAAAGGGAGGAATGCGAGCTGTGGGTCAAATGGACATGTGGGATGATCACGATACGGTCGGCATCGTGCAATCAACTCTGCTCTTGTCAGGGATTCCTCGTGGCTATGGGAAGGGTCTTGTCGCTTTTCTTATAGAGTAAAGTTAAAAAGTTCCACCCAACCATCAAATCTGTCAGCACTGGTGGAACAATCACACCCTGTACTTCGCGTTACAAGTCCTTGGGGGCGATGGGGTAGCCTCGTGCTTAACGCGTTCGTTCGTCATGCCGAAGACCCGGGTTCGATTCCCCACATGGGTACAATGTGTGGAGCCCATTTCTGGTGTCCCTCACCGTGATATTGCTGGAATATTGCTGAAAGCGGTGTAAAACCATACTCACTCACACACTCACTACAAGTCTTTGATAGTCTATTTAAGAGTTTAGAAGGATTCGTAACTTCAGGAACGATTATGTTTAGTAACAACACTAAGAGGTTGTCATATCCTAAACCATATTAAGTCCCTGTCAATTTGGTTAGTACACTATCTGTGGTTCGTGTACAATATAACGTACAGGACATAATTGTCAGGTTTGTATCTTGACGTTTGATTTACACATGAATATATTACGTCACGTGTCATCAATGTAGGGTTGTCTTATTGCAAAAGGATGATAATGGGTTGAGGAAGCCAAGCTATTATCATCTTGAGGAAATAGTTCATCCTTGGCACGCGTAGCCATGTATGAATGTCACTGCGAATCACACAGTGTTAAACTATGAAGTTTAACACTGTGTGATTCGCAGTTACATACATACATATGAACATGACGAAACCTACTGAATTATGTAAGAAACTTAAATTTAACAGGTCTGGGAGTTTTGAGACCGGGTATTTTTGCTCACAGCTTCAAGACATACAGTTTGTCCTCTGAGAGCAGGAGACGAACCTTTTTGTATGTTTATTCACAACACATTTGTTTTGGACAACTAGCCTGTCCAGCGAAAAATTCATTTTTGTGTGTAAAATCAGAGGAAAATTCATTCGTTTCTATTTTCTGGGACAAAGTATTGAAAAACAAAACATATATATACATATAATTTAAATGAATTTTTAAAATAATTTTTTTAGGTTAAATCCCCCATGCCCACCCTCCAAAAAGACAAACCCCTAAAAACATTGTGTCTCACCTCTTACTTCCTCCGGGAGAGTGACCGCGCCTTGATCATATCGAATATCCTGTCGCTCTGGGACTCGGCCATCATCTTCCGCCTCATCACCCGATGTCTCCAGTTGATGATGTCCTGCAACTGTTTCACTATTGACTCGGGGCTCTCATGACTGCTAGGTGTCTCTATATTCTGTCAATATAGTGAATGGAGGTTAAAGAACGGCCCGGGATGACTTACTTGCCTAGCAAGTTTGTTCAGTGTATTTCAACAACGCGTGACGGCTTATAAGCTTCTACAAGTTGGGCTCAGTCCAGTAATATTTGGTGACCTCAGTTTATTGAAACAATGCTTCACGTACAGAGCACTAATTACGACGTCTAGACCTGGAAATGCAAAGGGCACGAGACAGCGGCGGTACATATGTGTACCAACTCTAACTAATTAGTCGCCCATGTCAAACATTGGTAGATTGTTCTTGTAAATCATATTACCAAGCATGCCCTAGTTAAGTTCTTTAAGGTGAGAGACCAGATTGGCGTTTCTGTGTTCCTTATAAAATATATAAGTATGACACGTCAGCGCCAGGGAACTATGAGGTTCGACCATCTGGCGAACCACTCCCCACTGGCCGGAAAAGGCAAAACAGCAATGAAAACTATTTAAATGGATCACTAAACATCAGTAATGACACCAGGTGTTCGCAAACAGGACTGTGACTGTGTAACGAACGACACAACCGTTTTTCTTTCAATGTATACTGGGCTCACTTGCACAAAGCGATCTTAGCGCAAAGGTCATCGTAACTCCCATACTTTAACATTGACTTACAATAGTCGTAGCGCTAAGATCGCTTTGTGCAAGTGGGCCCTGGTTTCTGGTTGAAAATGACGTCATTTACTGATCCTTGTGATCAATCTATAATTTTTAGTTTCAACAAAATCAGTAAATGTGCTATTGTGTCAATGAATTGTCTTGTCCATCACTGGTGTGTCTGGTCAAGAGGCCACCGTCGTGTGGCAGGTCAGGTGCATTGCGGCTGGAGGCAACAAACAAACACTTACTTTTTTATATGAATTGTGTGAGTGGGGGGTGCTACCTTTAGAGCAGGATATGCTAACCCTTTTCGCGAACACCTGGTTTCATGACTGATTTTCAGTGATCCATTCATATTACTTTCTCCACTAGTTTGCCTTTTGTACCCAATGGAATCTGTTCCGGCAGATAGTTGAGGCTGGTTATTCTCTGGCGTTGACGTTTTATATTTAAGGTTTATTAATGCCATGCACGCGTGTGTGTAACTATTTGAATGAAGTGTATGACGTTATATGAGTCTATGAAGACACAAGGACAAATGAACTTTTCTTGTCTTCTAACTTGTACTTTGAACGTGGCAAAGTCAACTGTCCAAATTACTTTCAATGTATCAAATTATACGAGACTATACGGCTGGTGTCAATATACAATATACAATATAGTTAACTATATTAGACACGATAGTCAAACGACGGATTGAACAACAAGAGTTGAAAGAACCGATAGTGTTACTATTAGTTTAAATGTCGGAAGAGTAGTGTTAATAAATCTAACCTATTAATAAAATACGCTTGGTATATATATATATATGCCTCTGTATATCCATAAATAGCCGTCAGAGAAGGAGAATGTGAGTGTGTATTCTTCTTCTTATTATTTACAGATTAAAATAATAAAAAAGAGGGTTTGGGTGATACTGGCACGGTCAAGCTGGTTAGGCTCATCATCAGCTCAGGGCCCTTGCCCCTTCTACACGCAGCTCAGACACCGAAAGGAACTTCTCCCAGGAAGCGCTGCGTTGTCGAACCCACCGAGAACTACTGCAGTCTTCTGGATCAACCAGATTGTCAGAAGGGATATTAATATTAATATTAATATTAAGTATGGGATATTGATATTAATATTAATATTAAGTATGTGTGGCAGTACATTTTTGGCTGAACACACAAATTCAATTTTCACATTTTGAACCTCGTGTCCGGAACCCAAATTAAATTAGCGTGGTTATGATATCAGGTAACCTAGCTCTGCATTGAAAACACTGGTCTCCTAATGCACCATAGAAGTTAAACAACACTGTAGTTTTTTAAAGAAAAAATACCCCGGGTTACATACCTGTACATAATTTCTTTTACGAAACTGAAAAAGGAGATTTGATAATAAGTTAATAGTTATATTCATGACAAAGAATTAAGTTGGTCTACAAAAATCCTGCAAACGTTAATTCACAAAGGTACTGATTTTATTACACTGCACTGATGATTGACAAAGATACTGTATTTTATTGAATCGGGAGCACGAGTGGCCCTGTCGTCTAATGCGCCCCAACCCGCTGTGAAGAGTTCCGTCCCTTAGGTGTGCCAGACACCGATGATCGTTGGAACCTAGCTTCGTCCTGGTCATGCGTCCAGGTTTGTCATCACCAACCCGTGATTTTGGGTGTCACAAAAGTGGTACACGTCTTAGACCTAAGCAAGGATAAGATATATGGACAAAAAACCTCATTATTACATTTAGGTGCAACGTTTCGGTGAAGGTTCTAACACCGTTATCAAGCAAGTGATCAAGTAAGCAACGATGTTGGAAACTACACCGAAACGTCGCTCCCAATTGTTATAAAGAAGCTGTTCACCCATATATCTTATCCTTACATAGTACTCCAACTTCTAATGCCTCTCAAAGAAGTCGTCTTAGACCTGTTTCCATTTTGGCTTTGCTCCAACATCAAACTGACACGCCGTGATATAACAGAATTAATGTTGAAAGCGGCGTTAACTCACTCACTCACTCACTCACTCACTCACTCACTCACTATTTGATCACCTCATTTGGATAACGAACGTTCCCAACAAAATATCAATTCATACTTACTCCGTCTGGACAATTCTGTAACGAGAAATAACGTTGCTCAATATTGCAATATGAACCAAACCCTCCTTGGTAAATCATAACATAATTACAATATCCTTAACAGTACAGTCCATTCACATGTACTCTACAAATTCTTTTTGTTTCTAAATGCACTGCGCAGAATTCATCCCAATGGTAAGTGCATGCTGCATTAACTTAGAATCTAAATATAGTGACTTTGAATCATTAAATTGTGACGAAGATTCAACTTACCCGAGGGTGTGCCTGTAGGATTGAAAACAACAGTAAAGAATGAGCCGCAAATTACATTAGTAAAATCAATGATAATCAAACTTACAGATAATGAACAAGGAAGGATAAAAATCAATGCTATTATTCGCCGTAACCTTCCAGCCATGAGCTGATATGAATTACGTGGAACCCGTGGACCCTTATAAACAACCAAAAAACATAATGTTTAACATGTCTGCGAAATGATGCTATGTAGTTATTCCAGTACGTCATGAAACCAGATCTAGTGACACAGCAAAACAACTGGGGCACAATGTGACCATTCATTAAATTTGACCTGTACATGATGCCCTTTTCAGCATTTAAAGCGCCTTAAATCCAGCAGCCAGCGGCAATCAATCGTATATACAAATCCGTCACATCCTCATCAATTGCCCACATGCCCGTCGGTTTCTGCCGCATCACTGTAACCGTCTCTATCATAGGATTCAAGTTTGAAAAATAATCAGCCGTAAATATGACCCGAGATGTTGATAATTGCAATAAACGTTGCAAACGGTTTATAGTAGCTCATTTTATAATTAATTCTTCAAAAGTAGGTTGTTTTTTTTGAGAAGGGGATTAGATCCAATGCATGTACTCTATCTTCACTTTTATCACTTATACTAATAATTTATACCTAATAATTTCGGTCAACACTATTAATACTTTTACGCACGAAAAAGGAATATATGGCTTCTTAACTTCTATTGTAATTGATAGTTTTGTAGAATATTCATTTTTGGTGTACTTCAGTCTCTTGTCTTGTTGAATAATGCTTTTAGAATGAAATTAATAAATCAATTAAATATGTGCAGAAATTCTGCGCACTTTACATCAGCTTTCTATGAAGTGAGTGAGTGAGTTGGGTTAAACACCGCTTTTAACGTTATTCCAGTTATATCACGGCGTGTCAGCTTAATGTGGGTGGAAAGCCCGAAGTGATGCAGGTGTCAGACGTTGTTTAAACACTTCGGTGAAACCCACGAGCACGGGTATGGCGCTGACAAACCTAGAAACATAATTGGGGCGAACCGGGATTCGAACCCACAGTCATAGGTTTCAGGCGTGCCCAAGTGACGCAACTCTGCACAGCGAATCGCGGCGCCTCAGACGACTGCCCCCCCCCCCCCCCCCCCCCCCCCCCCCCCCGTGTCTCCCGCTTTCTATGAAGAATTAGAGACGCTGAATTTACAACATTAAAAGGCTTGTACTTTCAAATAACAGACAACACCATTTACATCATTAGAAAAGCAGAATGTCGTAAAGCTGGTAAGTATCATGTTTTCGAATCACGGTCGAGTTCCTGACAGGAAATGACTGACGAACGGAAGGTCAGACAAAGTATCAGGTTTAGAGAAATAATTTGTCTGATGTCTGTCAGTCCTTGTCGGAGGTCTACGTTACTGTGTCTGTGCTGATGATGGCGCCATGTATTTCCACCCTTGGTCAATACGTCGAGCATTGCAACCATTTCCACAGTCATTAAAGGTGGATCAACTTTGTGAGTAGGGGAACAATTCGTGTCGTGTCATTATTGCGTGGATTTCTTAATCGTATATGTGCTACTCTCACCAGTGGATCTCGCATCTTTATATATATATAAGGGGGAGTAAGCCGTTAGTTTTTCTTCAAATTACTTGTTTCTGATGGATGCCGATCTTATGACAAAGCAAATAATAGTTTCACGGAAATTCTAGTGGTCTGTTTGGACTGGCTCTAAGTATTGCTTCCATCACAATTTCAATTTGGAAAATGGTATACAAAACCTAAAAAAGAGTCTTATTTACATACAGGCGAACATAATGGGCCCCGGAATCGAAACCTATTCGGCATAAAAATTGTATTTGTATATTATTATATACATGTAATATATTTGGCATTTTGTTCGTAGGATTTAAGGGGCGGTAGGGTAGCCTAGTGGTTAAAGCGTTCGCTCGTCACGCCGAAGACCCGGGTTCTATTCCACATATGGGTACAATGTGTGAAGCCCATTTCTGGTGTCCCCCGCTTTAATATTACTGGAATATTGCTAAAAGCGACGTAAAACCATACTCACTCACTCGTAGGATTTGAAGAATTTCAAAGTGAAACATACTTAGCCCTTGGTTGACATGGACAAACTTGGAGGACGATCTTGTTAAACGGTTTTGGCGTTTATCAGGAAACAATGTATGACATATGATAGTGACTGACCAACGCAAAGACACACAAATAATACACGAACGGATGTATGGATGGACGGGATCAATGTCTACACAATACGACATCGCCATTATAATCAAAGAAGCCTTACACAATATGCTCCATACTGTGATTGTATGAGCTAAAAGCCAAAATTATTTTACGATTAATATCCTATAAGTTAATCAAGAACGAAGTCAATATCGTTAACTTGTCACCGAAGATGACATCCGGTGAAACAATTACTTTGTAGTCACGTAACATCATACACACAGCATCTTGAGACGTACCTGGCACATCTGCATCCAAGAAGCAAGTGGAAGAAACAAAGTCGGAATTACCCTCGGGATGAACTATCAATGTGTGACATGACATTACCCACTGATCAAAATGCCCACCAAGCTGGTTATAGCATAATACCAATGCATTATAGGTAAAGATAGTGATAACATGTCATATCTCATAACGCTTCTTCAAACCTTCATTTGTTGTCATGCCATATGCCTTATGATAGATTCCACATATGATAACTTGTAAAATAATAATATACAAAAACATAAAAAATGACTTGCTCTTAAAATACAATTTGATATGCTGTAAATGTGGATATCACATACGATAACATTTTCTCTTAAATTGATTTTTATGATGAATTATACTACTAAGCCACGTAACACATATGAAGATATTTTCTGTCAAGATGGATTTCATATACGTTGACATGCTGTTAACAAGAGCGACAAAAACATTTCAAAACGAATCTCAAGCTTTATCTTCACTTATCTAAAATATCACATATGATGATAGTCATTTTTAGATGGTTTTCAGATATGTTTGAAATGTTATAATTGGCTCTTGGGGGGGCAAGTCGGAATATCTGAGGTTTCAAATACATTTTATCTAAGGTATCGTGCCTTTGTTATAACAACGGATAATCATTGAATCAGTTACAAGTGCAATCAGTGTCGCCTCGCAACATACATGACGGAGAAACACATGGTAGGTCATGTGAACAATCTTCACAAGGTCTTGCTATACAATCACTGGTTTTATTCAAGTCAGACTATTCTGTCTACTTTTTGTTTGACGTAAAACAATTTAAAATTCAAGCACTTTTTACTTCGTAATTGGTCTGTTAACAGCAGCTGTTGCAGTTACGTGGACCAGTCTCAACACGGACATTTGAGACGAAAGGGAAAACCGACGTCTATATATAATGTAAAAAAGTAACGGTAAATAACACTGCTCTTTGTACTCAGATCTAGTTGTTTGATACACGGGGCATTGGGTTAATTGTATTGACGTCATACTCACCAGCTGATCACGCATGAGGAAAGAAAACAAATTGTATCGATATTAAAGAAATGGTCGCTTTAATCATACATTGACAACGGAAGCTACAGTACTAGTTACCCGACAATACATTGAGAAATAAATAGAATTATTACATATACTTAAAAAATATTGAATTTTGTAAAAATAGGTTTAACGCCGCTTTGAACATTATTTCGGTTATATTGCGGTCTGTCTGTGTAATATGTCTGGAAAGCACAAGGTGAGACTGGCTGGAATGTTAATGTTTTCAAATTTGGTGAATCCCAGGATAACCACGGATGTGGTGCTGACAAACAAGGAGGATCATAGTCGGGGCCAATGTGGGATTCGAACCCACAACCAGTGGATCATGAGGGTCATAACACTGTATAACGGTATGCGGCGGTAGATAAGTTAGCCATCTGTGCCCACATAATCGCTCTTAAAGCTTCGAGCGGTAGTGGTCAAAGTGTTCGCGCGTCAAGCGAAAACCCGGGTTCGATTCCCACATGGGTACCATGTGTCAAGCCTAATTTTGGTGTTTCCCCGCCGTGAAATTGCCGGAACATTGCTAAAAGCGGAGTAAAAACTCACTCACTCACTCACTCACTCACTCAGTGTTAAAGCTTCAGTTGGTTGGTTGTAAATGTATGTAGTTGTGCAAATCATTGTGGGAACTTTTGAAACATTTGTTACGAAACAAATCAGATAGAGTCATGTATTATTTGTAGAATTTGGCTAATATATAGTCATATAGTCATTATCTTAATAGTAAAGTATTAAACAAGGTATCTCTATTATTCAAACCGCTTTTTGTGTCTTAAAAATTTACATGTATTTCAAATCTAAATACTTACCCTTAAACCCTGCATGATCACACATCGATGACGAAAGTTGAAAAAGAAGCATAATAATATGTTAAGCAGAAATAATGACAGATACATTTCAATATAATCTACTTAACACCATGCGTACAAACGTCATAGCAATCATTTCTCGTTATAATAAGCAATAAATGACAGTTTGGTAATATTCATATAATTTTCATGGCTTTAACGTTATCAATATGTAATAACATGGCTTGTACAATTTCTTAATAATCCATCACAACACAACATTTTCAACATTTCATTTGAAATTAATACCACAACTTGATTGTAGACTTGATAAAAATAATGTACAACGTTTTTCCTAAGGAAGCTATCAGATCAATCTCATTAAAATCAGATCTTACCTCTCGCTATCGCTAAACAAAGATCTGAAGACATCCCATTAGGGGTCACGTCAGAACGACCTTTCATCCGACCAATAAGAGCGTCGCTTACCAGATCATGAAAGTGACAGTCGGAATGTGAGTTCTAATCATACAACCTCGAAAACTTTAACACGGGGTATTCCGAACGATAGTTACGGGTTTAACGATTGAATCCATACAATCTAGACCATCTATTAGCCATTCCAGAATGTTCTTTTGTTCAGGTTTCAAATTTGTAATCGAGAATTTGTCAAAATATGTTTCGAAGCGTAGTCGCCAATTTGAAATTAGTGCCGTAAAGCACGAGAAAGCTGCCTTCTAATTGGTCATTCCATTGGTCGGTCAAAGTTCGCGCAAGGTCGGTCTGGCGTGACCCGTAATGGGATGTCCTCAGATCTTTGTTTAGCGGTAGCGAGAACTAAGATCTGATTTTAATGAGATTGCTATTAGATGTATATTCATCCGGCAGTGGTTGGTATAGATAAAACAGTTGTTAATAATTGTGCAGAAAATACACGTGATATGTAATATGATCCTATTGGTGACAGCATGCGAGGTGGTATACGGAGGATGCACACAGACATATAACACAAGGTGATGAATCTGAGGAGAGGACAACTGTCATCGTCGCAGGAGCACCTACCTTGTAATTTGTTTTCTTTCCTAATACATTCTAGAATGTGACACCCAAGCCTTGTTATACTAGAACGTGACATTTCTCATCTAATGGATACCATAACGTGACACTACCAAATTCTCGGAGATATATCTGACATTCTTACATTTTCATTTTCAGACTGTGAACTCAACACATTACAGATTATTGATACCCCCAACCGCCCTATATATATAATATATTGGGCGGGTCTTCGGCGCGACGAGCGAACGCTTTAACCACCGGCTAATTGGGGGTAGCTTAGTGGTTAAAGCGTTCGATTGTCACGCCGAGAACCCCGGGTTCGATTCCTCACACGGATGCAGTGAGCGAAACTCATTACTGGTGTCCCCCGCAGTGATATTTCTGGAATATTGCTTAATATTGCTAAAAGTGACTCACTCACTCACTCACTCACTCACTCACTCACACTCACTCACACTCACTCACTCACTCTTCTTATATATATACATACAAGAAAGTGAATATGATATGGTTAGCGAATTCCAAGTCATTTCGACTTCAACAGCTCCACTCATCCGATTTTTCGGCACAATCGTCGAAAGTCAATAGACATGATTCGGATGAACAAGTTATAAATAGCATATCGCTGAGTAACGATAAATAATACTACACTGTTTTGTGCCAAATAAACTTGATAATTCAGAAGATAAGTATTGATGCTGTAGCATTCCTGTTAGGCAGTACATGTATTTAAAGTTTAACCTTTTTTTCTTAAAATATTTCTTAAAAATCATAATTGGCACACCCGTGACATGGTGAAAGTCCTAAACACATATATCAACCTCAGAAGATAACAGGAATGAAATATGTAATAATTTGCAAATATAGATCAGAACGTATCATAAGACTTGCATCACTACAACTGACAAATCAGCATTGATTGAGAATCGCTATAATGTAATGCACACCTGACAATATTGCCAAAAATATCACCCCCGCTCCTCCAATCCCCATGGGTAATAAAAACACAGACGACATCGCTAAGATCCATTATCCTCGTCACGATCCTCATACCCCAGCGTTTTTCATTGAAAAACCCACGGATTTCACACACACGATGAAATAATCACACCGAACACATAATTGAACAGACATTTGACAAACAAGAAACGGTTTTATAAAATTACATTACACTGATGTCGATCGATGACCCTTGTCTTTGATGATAAAATCGTCGTCAATGCATTTTGCGATATGTGTGCGCCTCACACAGGGGAATAACACTTACATCAAACACCATAAACAGAGGGTAATGAAGTGATAGATTATTGTCAATATGGACAATCTATAGGAACAGTGGGTGTGACCGTTTACAACATGCAATTTAAAGCCTGGCGTTACGTTAGTATCAGTACTGCATAAAAACGTCATATTTACTTAATGTTCTGTAAGGATACTTTGATAACAATCATCATATTAAAAAACTCTCAGTATAAACACATAAATTTTAAGCATCAATGGAGAATTGATTATGACGTATCTTCTAACCATTGCAGATGCATTTTAATTTTAATATACTTCAAAACGATATGGCTGAACTGAACGACTACATGCAGTTATATATGTGGAGGGATGTAGTTTGAAAAAGAATATATAGTATATAATAAACAGGGTAAAATAACCCGCACTCACCGGGACATGGCCCTAGTGTGAAGACAATTATATAAAGATGTTACTAGCTACACAAAAAAGGACAGGCCACTTCTCTACGGATAACATGCCAACGAATATATTTGCACCATTTTTCCGAGGTATTTTTTGCAAAGAAAATATTTATAATTGTCTTTCAGCGCAAAGGGATAATACGTTTGCTTTTGCAATTCCCAAGTGATGGGCGGTGGGGTGGAGGGTGTGGGTGTGGGTGTGGGTGTGGGTGTGGGTTGTGGGAGTGGTCAATACCTGAACCACATATAGTGTGGCATTTCACAAATCCAGACGTCATCGTTGCCAGTAAAATTGTTGGGATTTGGGGATCATGGGTATTACGTTACGTCACTCAAATTATGAGTTGACGTTCCTGACACCAAACGTCCAGAAATAGGGTCTTCGAAAGTTAGGAGTCTGGATTAACGTGATTTTGAAGTATGTGTTTAAAAGTGATTCTTTATCGGTTTCCTGGCACTTTCGTCTAAAACAATCAAATTATAGGAGTGGACATCACATGCATGGTATGAAATGCATTGTGGTTTTATCAAGTGATTCATTTTACGAAACGAAACTTCAACACTTATTGATTTATAGAAGGAAATATATTCGTTGGCATACATATAGTATCACAAGCATCTAGTTCCGTTGCCTTGTGAGTGTGCAACGTGCTGTGTGCAATGTGCCGACAATGTACTATGGCTACACATGTGCCTAGGTAGAACCGTCCTACTTACCATGTACTAAACAGAGGTTGGGAAACAGAGGGAACGATTGTTAGTCACTCCGTACATAGAAACAGAAACTACCTTCGACAAAGAAGGCTACCCTTTGTCACAGATACCTGCATTTCATTTTGATGTTGAAGGTCATTTTCTTCAGGTTATACACAGAAAAGAACTCTTGATATAATTAGGAGCAACCTTTTTTCATTTGAGTGTTTCTCGTAGCCTTGGGCCGGAAGACCGTCAAATGGTAAAGATAGCAAATACTATTTGTTTCACATTTATGGCAAACAGACAATGAAAATGATTCTTGCTTATTTTTTCAGTTTCCCCCGAGGTCGAGTGCGAGAAAAAAGTCGAGAGGAAATTAATAAACGAATTTGTGTTAACTGATTGGTCGACAGGAAACTGATTGGTTGCAGTTAGGAACTGAGCATAACAACTAGAAACGATGCCCTAAATGTGGACGTATAAAAATTAATTGAATCATAGTTACATTTCTGCATTTTAGTCATTTTGATTTTTTGGCTATGTTTGATGTTAATGGTCCAGCTGAATGACGGCGGTCTGTTAATAATCGAGTCTGTACTAGCCAATCCAGTGATTGGCTAGCATGACACACAATCAACCAAGTCACCACACCTGACCAACCGATCCATAAGTCGCCTTATACGTCCAGCGCACACATGTAGGATGCTGGGAACCTATTCTTACCCGGCATCCTACCGGATCTTGTTTTGTCATTTGGATGAAAACATTTTAATATTACCTACTATAAACTGAAGTTTTTTGTTTCTTGTAGAAGTCAGTGTATGTTCTGACAATGTTGTCAAACGTTATGAAAAGTAAAAAACAATAAAGCTTTCAGACAATGAATACTCTAGTGTGAAAACAGCACAAATAGTAGTTACATACATTGGAGTATTGGATACACTGTTTCTGACAGTAGACATGTTAACAGTGTTCAGTGCTCATGTTATGACAGTGCACACGTGAACAGTATGGGATACACTGGTTTTGACAAGACAGTATGGGACGCACTGGTTTTGAAGTGAACATGTCAACAGTATGGGATGTACTGGTTTTGACAAGACAGTATGGGACGCACTGGTTTTGAAGTAAACATGTCAACAGTATGGGACGCACTGGTTTTGACATCACACATGTCAATCCTATGAGATGCACTGAGTTTTTACAATAGACATGTCAACAGTATGGGACGCACTGGTTTTGACATCACACATGTCAAACCTATGAGATGCTCTAGTTTTGACAAAAGACATGTCAACCACGTGGGACGCACTGGTTTTGACAGCACACCTGTCAAAACTATGAGATGCACTGGTTTTTACAATAGACATGTCAACAGTAAGGGACGCACTGGTTTTAACAGCACACCTTTCAACAGTATGGAACGCACTGGTTTTGACATTGCACGTATCAAAACTATGAGATGCACTGGTTCTGACAGTAGACACAATTACGACATTCAAGCACGTGAAGGAACAATACACACGTAATGTCATGTAGTACATTTTACTAATAACGCATATCAGATGCGTGTTGGACATAATGACACGCTGTAACATACAATGGATCAATGAGACACGATGATAACAGAGATTAACACAAGATCCAAATTTCTCTGATCACATATTGCAATCCGGTCAAATACTAGAATGTTGAACAGAGTTAAAAGTAAACACATTCTTTCAAACTCTCTCCGCTCTGTACTGATTTAGCAGTTACATGGGAGGGAACGCGCCACGATTATGATCATTTTGGTACTTGAAACATTATATTAATCTATAAAGAAAAGGTACAATTTTCCCGAGCACACATGCAGAACTGACAATCTTGACTAACACGTCCAAAGGCATAGTTTCGAATTGATCATGTCTGGCAATGAACCCAATGCCTCTACTGATTTTTATCATATTTTTCAAAAAACATAAATACTTAGAAATGTTTTCAGAATGAAATTTACTGTAATAATAATAATTACAAATAATTTCTAAAACTTTTGGTTTCAACAGTGCAATTGATCTTGTGCATCAAATTCATGTTATACCTATGTGATAAATGTGTGTTTGTTTTGGCTGCGAGATTTCTGCAATCAATGTTACGCAGCTGGGTATACCATCTGAATTTGATATGTTCCATGGTAGTTTTTTACGGCTTATTAATTGACTTTTAAAACGAAACATGTGCCTCCATCGCTAAAGAATATCCAGACGAACAGGCATTACCGTGACTATACTGAAGAGAGCAACTGAACACTTGTGTTTACTGTCTATGGATTATAGTTGATTCAATGTTAATTAACATAATGGATCCGGACAATGCTCAAACATGTTTTTTTCTGTGTATCGATTTTCTTTTAAAAACGAAATTTCATTCAAAGTAAACACAAGTGTGTTTTCATGAAATTACATTAGTATAAACATTTTGCACTTTATTCTTATGCAATAAGTAATCTTAGTGTTCTTTTGCTTTGAACTTTGGACATTCTGACGTATCTATGGATTTATATTTGCTTTATATTGAACCTACCGCTCTTTTCAGCACGTGTGACGACTGCTGTGAGACTTCAACTTGTGGGATGTATGCTGAAAACAGATAATAATACAACTGACAATAAGATGAGGATACGTTTAATGACAAAACCATTAAATAAAACATCAGTGGACTTTACTGTTAGTTTTAGCACTCGTAACTGGTATACCCGACACTGACATAAGAAATTAAGAAACTTTAAATGCAGTGCCGGATCTCGTGCTCGTGTGTGTGTGTGTGTGTGTGTGTGTGTGTGTGTGTGTGTGTGTGTGTGAGGGTGTGTTTGAGTGAGTGTGTGCGTGTTTGTGGCTCTGGTTTTACTTGTTTGTGTGCATATATGTGTGTGTGTTTGTTTGTTTATGTGTGTTTGTGTGACAATCACATTATATGCCCAATGGCATAAAAAGAGATGTATATTTGTTTCTAATTGTGTGTTTGTGTTTGTGTTTGTGTGAGGGTGTGTTTGTGTGTGAGTTTTTTGTTTGTTCGTGTGTGTATGTGTGTGTTTATTTGTTTATTTGTGGTTTTGTGAGTATATGTGTGTTTATGTGTTTATTTGTGTTTGCGCGCGCGCGCGTGTGTGTGTGTGTGTGTGTGTGTGTGTGTGTGTGTGTGTGTGTGTGTGTGTGTGTGTGTGTGTGTGTGTGTGTGTGTGACAATCACATGAAATGCCCTATGTCATAAAGAAGAAATGAATGCACGTACTTACAGAGGACTGTGGCACAATCCCCACAGTTCTTTTCTGATTGTCAAATTTCACACACACACACGCACACGCACGCACGCATGCATGCAACTATATGAAACGCATTATAAAATCCATACTTAAGAAAAAACAAACATAGCCATACAAAATGTCTCCACCTCGTTGATAACCCATTAATACCACTCTTTTATTCATAACGTGCACGTATAACGCAAGTTATTTGCATATTATGTTGTATATCGAATGACCCAGACTTTATGGTCGTGTGCAGCATGGTGCGTCTTGTTTCCAGGAGTGTTTGATAATGCACTCTATTGAATGCAAACTACAAGAAATGGTAATTTATTTATAAATACAGACGTCAGCTCCATTCCAGTATATTGATGGGACGCCTAATGGTTTAGTCTTATACATTTGTTTTCATTTGTTTTCGATTGTCACTATGGCAATATATGCTAAGCAGACAGGTTAGTACTGTTTCGATGTAGTTTAGGCGATACTATTTCCAAGTATAACCATGGATCAAGATAAACTAGTTTGAGGTGGGTTGTTGAGGCATTTTGTAAGTCAACTGCACGTACCTTGTAGTGCCATAGTTCTTCTATAGAGAAAAGAGAGAGACAGACACAGAGAGAGAGAGAGAGAGAGAGAGAGAGAGAGAGAGAGAGAGAGAGAGAGAGAGAGAGAGAGAGAGAGAGAGAGAGAGGTTGGGGAGGGAGGGAGGGAGAGAAGAGAGAGATAGAGCGATAGGGAGCGAGAGAAGGAGAGAGAAAAGTGACGAGAGAGGTTGGGGAGGGTGGGGGAGAAGAGAGAAGAGTGACGAGTGAAGGGAGTTAACATTTAACTTCGTATCGGAATTATTTCAGCCATATAGCGACGAGACCAAGTTGATATATTCACAAGTGGGTCATGATTGCAAAGTTATATTTAAAAACAGTTTTTTCCCAAACATATTTAGGCATGACAATATCAGAGAAGAGTGAGAGAGAGGGAGTGAGGGAGGGAGAGAAGAGATAGGTGGAGCGAGATAGGGAGGGAAAGAAGAACGAGAGGGGAGAGAAGAGAGAGAAGAGTGAGGGAGAGGGAATGAGGAGGGAGAGAAGAGACAGAGGTAGAGCGAGAGAGAGAGGGGGGAGAAGAAAGAGAGGGAGAGAAGAGAGAGAAGAGTAAGCGAGAGCTAGTGAGGGAGGGAGAGAAGAGAGAGAAGTAGAGCGAGATAGGGAGGGAGAGAAGAGTGAAGAGAGAGAAGAGTAAAAGAGGGAATGAGGGAGGAGAGAAGAGAGAGAGGTAGAGCGAGAGAGAGAGAGAGAGAGAGAGAGAGGTAGAGCGAGATAGGGAGGGAGAGAAGAGTGAAGAGAGAGAAGAGTGAAAGAGGGAATGAGGGAGGGAGAGAAGAGAGAGAGGTAGAGCGAGAGAGAGAGAGAGAGAGAGAGAGAGAGGTAGAGCGAGATAGGGAGGGAGAGAAGAGTGAAGAGAGAGAAGAGTGCAAGAGGGAATGAGGGAGGGAGAGAAGAGAGAGAGAGAGCAAGATAGGGGAGAGAGAGAGAGAGAGAGAGAGAGAGAGAGAGAGAGAGAGAGAGAGAGAGAGAGAGAGAGAGAGCAATGTATCGTACCAAGACAGAATACAACCATGCGGGATTCCCCAAAGGATAATACTACTTTCACGACTCGTCCTACAAATCCCAAATACATTTTGTAAGCAATTTCGTCTCCGATGAACACTTTCCATTGTCTCCCTTTCGTTCGAGCACACATTCCCTCAATTAATCAGCAAAACAAGTCAGTAATTGACAAGGATTAATGCAAGGTGTTCACAAGGAGCAACCACTTTACCATAATACCAGAGCTACTCGAAATAAGACGAATTCAACGGAGGACGGTCCGCTGAGGCGGAACAACAAATATTGAAACAGTGTTGTTAGTTGTCACGCCATCGCTACCAAGAAGCAAGGATTTATCGAAGACAGGGTGCACATTTCTACATAAATCTTCTAATTGCTCAAAGACTTGTTACATTCACAGACGGATGGTTTGAAAGTTTCGACGTCGGTGTCTCTCAACGTGAGAGGTGTTCCAATGTAACCCTAAATGTGCTTGCCAGAATGATCGATAGTAAAAACTCGAGGCTTTTTGTCCACTGAGGTTTGTCCTAAAAACCGGTGTTGGTCGCGGGGTGATGTGATGAATTAACGCATGTCTATCGTCTGCAGGGGAAACATTGATTTTCTAACTTGGAGAAGAAATGTGAGTTTCAGATATTTAGTGTATAATCATTGTCTGCACATTTGTCCTATCAATGAATTATGACAACGATTGTTGCTACTAAGTTGAAACAATATCAAAATAATTTATCAGGAAGAGAGTGTAATGATTATATTGTTAAATCTATTATTCAGTATTGGAAGTCGATTTCAAGACTCGTCTCTTTTCTCTCGGTGGCGTTATTGAGATTGTTGATATTTAACATGGACTCGTTTGCTAGTACTTAGCGCATTAAAGGTTACATCTTCTGACACCTTGTCATTCTTCAGATGCAAACATGTTTGATCAGAAAGGCTTTGAATGTGAGTGAGTGAGTGAATATTCTTTAACGCCGCATCAACAATCTTGCTGCTGTTTCCTTCGAACTTGAAGGCAATTCTGTTCTTTGTCATTGACGACGGATTATTCATTTTAAGTTTAACAATTATATGGCTATGGTTGGTTGGTTGGTTGTTTAACGCCGCACTCAGCGATATTCCAGCTATATGACGGCGGTCTGTAAATAATCGAGTCTGGACCAGACAATCCAGTGATTGATATCATGAGCATCGATCCACGCAATTGGGATCGATGACATGCATCAACCAAGTCAGCGAGCCTGACCACCCGATCCCGTTAGTCGCCTTTTACGACAAGCATAGTCACCTTTTACGGCAAGCATGGGTTGCTGAAGACCTATTCTACCCCGGAATCTTCACGGGTCTATGGCTATGACTGGAATTAACAAATTGTAAATTCTAATTCACAGTTTATAAACTCTGACACACAGAGGTTAAACGATATGTACTTGTGTGTTAATCATTATCTTCATCCAATACATTTCTGTATTATTAACTTTTGACCCTAAAACCTGAACATGTGTCTATTCCTCTTTTGTACTGGATTCCAAAGCTCCTTAAAATCCGCACAAAGAGAGATCTATTGCTGGGTCCAGGAAATGTACCATCAAATCGCTATCTCAAAGATTAACCATAATCCTTAATACAATCAAGTAAGGACTTTTTAAAAATACACAGAAAGTATTTGAGACAAGTGGAATTAATACCATATGGATTCTAAAAAAACTCAAAGGATTTGCTTGACTTTTAGCAATCTCAGAAAAGAACCAAGTTCAATTCTGTCAAAACATTAGATATTTCAACTTTGTATACCACTATCCAACATGACGGAAAAAACTCATGGAAAAACTTCACTCCTTGACCCTTGGGTCTTTTCCTACAAAACGTTGTGACCACAGACACGGTCATATATCTATTTTCAGAGGTTCGGGACAATTGATCAAAAATGAAAGTAAATACAGTCCGTAGCTTACTGAGAAAACAATACTTCTCAGTTTAACTTTAGCTTCAGGTATGTCTATGGTCTGATATCGTCTGATTTACCCCCCTGAACCACGGCTGTTTTATATTTAGATCTTAACATAAAGATTCAGAGGGAAAAAAACCCGCTCCACAATACTGTATGACAAGAGGGATGACTTCAACTTTCCAACAGTCAACTATTTCTTTACGTAGACTAATATTCCAGCAGCTCCAGCCTTTGGTGTTTACATTTCACAACCTTTGAGGTACAATCAAGCAGGTTCTTACTACCAAGATTTAAAAGAGCGTCATACGACTCTTGCTCAAAAGTTGTTTGATCAGGATTGCAACATTCAAGGCCTCTGTAAAGCCTTCAAAAAGGTTTTATTGTAGACATGAAGAGGGCATTTTCAAATTGATTGACAAAAATGATGTCCGATGCAATTTTGCTATTTGATTTGTACCGTATGTTCTGGTGTTTTTTTGAGGTGAATCATTGACTTGCCTTTGCATGTGTTTGTGACGGGTGCCACCAGTGGGGCAGGATACGCTGACCGTTTCGCGAACACCTGGTATCATCACTACAGTGATTCATAAACACATGTTCATGATCCAGTCGGATTCGTACAGTCGATTTCTTTTAGCAGAGATTTCTTCTGATGGAGGGTTTGATAATAATATTAAAAAATGTAAATCGACCCGTGAAGATCCAGGGTAGAATAGGTCTTCAGCAACCCATGCTTTCCGTAAAAGGTGACTATGCTTGTCGTAAGATTCTGTTTGT